AATTTATCAAGATCAATGATCAACCAATCACATTTCGATCTATGCGGACAAAATGGGGAGGTCGCTGTGTGAGTTCTCAAAAAAAAAACTGTCTTGTCTTTATTCTAATCGTTATGATAATGCAGACACTATATTTTCCCTCCCTAAATGCAAGCTCTGGTTTGGTCCCGAGATTATAAGACCATTAAGTATTTGACTCTATAAATGCAGGTCGTGGCCATATGATCCCGTTGGTGCTGCACCAACAATTGTTGTAACCCATAATAATAACATTTACAAAACGTAATCACAATCATTATCATCGGTTCTGTTCAGCCAAAATTTTCGCGTTTTGACGTTTTCATCTCAAATTATTTTAGTTTTTCAATGTAATTTATTTATAGCACACCAAATAAACAACCTGGGGAATTTACAGGACAGAATTACTTCAATTTTTGGTAACACACTGTATTGTCGAGTCAACGAGCAATCGGTCGTTAACTCTTGGATTTAACTATCTTTCAGGCGGAGCTGTGGCTACTTTATTTAAATATAGTATATATTCAAACGTACATTTCATCATAAGCGAGTAATGCCACGAGAATATCCTCCTAACCGATATAGGGATTAGCGGTTTTACAACTACACCGATAGTTTATCAGGGAACGAATTATTAATAATGTATTTCAGAGTATGAGTTTATCACAACTCTTCGCGTCCATAGCTTTTCCACGGTGAAGAATTGTCAGTCCAACAAAGTTAGTATGTATAAGTGATCCTGACATACTAAATATTAAAGACGCTGTTGTCTCTTTGCAAAGCATGACAGTCATTTCTTCGAACTTTTTATTAAATTAAACTATCCCAAGTCATGTTCTGGAAAAATTCCGACCTTTCTCAAGCATGACCAAGTTGTCACAGTTCATTTTAGTCAATAAATTATACCGTCGTCATTAATAATTATAAAGGTGTTTATAAAGTCGCATTCAGCTTTTGTTATATATACGAATCCATTTGGCGGCATCGGGCCATGTATCAGGTCCCAGCAATCGAAACTAAATATAGAAGGCAGATCATCAACACATACTATTAATACTCAAACAACAGTTACAACTTCTTTACGCTGTATCGACAATCTCCACTCTCTCAGTTTTAAAGAATATACTCACTTGCATAGGAGTAGGAACGCCAAATAACACCCTCTTCCAAATCCCAAATCCATGTTTCCGTAATACTTTCGTTAATGTTGGATAACATCCAATATCCTTTGCAATTATATCGGCATACGGCATCATTACAACCGTCGTAGTGTGTCTGGCCGCTTCATAGAACTGTTTACGATTTCGGGCATGGTAAGTTATGATACGCTTGTCCATTTCCTCGGGTGATGGCAGAGGCGGGACCTCGCCTTTGATCAATGCTGTTACATAGCGAGCTTGGAGTTCACTGTTTGGGGGAACAAATGTTGCAGGTATTTTATGATTTTGGTATTCAATGGCATGTAGCAAGACGATTAGAAATTGCTGTAACGATGATTGTAACCGCTTACCACAATGGCATAATCGCTCCAATCTGTTGCATAAATCCCAAAAATGCAATATTACTACACCTTGGAGGAAACATAAATCTATCCAGCCAAATGATATTCTCCCTATATTCTCCTTCAGCAAAGCTCTCTCTGACAATATCTCCTCCATTGAGGATTTCCTTATCCAAAAAGCGTACTTCGTAGTTGTATCCAGTACAATAAACAATAGCGTCAATGTTGTCAGCGATTGTGTTGTCAACAAACGACACGGATCCATCACTCGCTAACGACGATATATCAGGTTTTATTACAATAGTCCCAGTAGAGAGTCGCTCAAGAAAATCAGACTTTACTGATGGCTGAGCAGCAGAAAATGGATATAACGGACGGAGGTTCTTGGGGGGTAGACCAGTGGTAAGCGAGATAACTAGACGTACAGTAAAGTTTCGGACAAAGTCAGGAAGCATGCCGGAGAAGCGCGAGATACTGTGATCCAGTGGTCGCCCGAAGAGGCCTCTGCGAGGCAGGATCCAGGGAAGTCTGCCTTATAGAAAAAACGCGATTGTAGAGTATGCCACGCGCAATAAATAAATACTGTGAACAAATAAACAAAGACTTTGATACCTCTGCGAGAGACTACGTAGACTTGTGATGCATGGTGAGATAATTCTACAGCTATATCCATGCCACTGGAAACAATGCAAAAACGGTTAGATGTCGATTTAGTATAAGGACCACAATAATCATTCTCACACACACCTGTTACCGACTCCAACAACAACAACGCGTTTGCCGATGTAGGAAAATGGACTGTAATAACATCGTTTAGCTTTTTTAATGTACGCATCTGCTAAATTCAAGAACAATCGAACCTACTTACTCTCTGTAAAAGTGAGCATGTATCTGTTTACCAGGGAATTTCTTCATTCCCTGGTAATTTGGCAATCGAGGAACGTTGTGATGGCCACTACATACCATTACATAGTCAAACTCTTCTTCTTGCTTTTCTCCACCTTTTTCAACCGATACAATTTTCCATTTCTTTGTCTCTGGGATCATGGACGCGTTCAATACGGTTGTGTTAAATCTGATATGCGGCCATAGCTTGAAATTATCCGCATACGAGTCGTAGTATCTTAGAGAGATTATGCAATTAGTCCTAGGATCAAAATAATAACGCATGCATGTATGTAAATCTTTAATATTTACTCTGCCACTTTATAGTGCGGAAGAAATGTTGGCCAATCTTCCGGAATTGGAAAATCAGAAAATGTCATCTGTGTCACAAGATAAATGATGAAGCCTGTTGAAAAAGTCCAATGCAAATCAATTAACCTACATACATGTTCTTTACTTGTATTGACAATGATACTACGATACACAGAAGATTGGGGATTTTGATTTTCCTCGGTGACTTCAGTGTATCTCCATAATCCGCCGGTATGAGCGGTCTGTTCGAAGCAGACAGGTTCCAATTCAGCAACTAAACATTGCTTAATGGCAGTCAAACCAGTAACGCCTTAAGCATGAAAAGGACGATGAGAATGTTTCTGTTTGAAAACCCCATTATGTAAACCAAAGATTCTCGCTTCGATCATACCAGCGCCAATAATTGCAACACGCGGTTTATAATCCATTTTTATCAGAAATTACGATATCGGTATCCATTGTGCAGTCGTGGTGTTTATATAATTTCGGGTAGTCGGATAATTTCTATTTTACTATGGTTGTTCTCAAATGGGGACTTGGGGGTAACAGATTAGGAAATTGGTGTAAGGGGGAGGTGATTTGCGTTCCCATAGAAGGGAAGGTGCCTAATTTGGAATTTCTTTAAAGTGATTTGCAGGAACAATGGAGCGTGAAGATTAATTTTCAAGATCAACAGATAATAGTAATGGTAATAATCAATACACACTAAACAACGTTAAATATTGGGTACCTAGTACTGCTAATAAATATCACCCGAGAGTATCAGTAACCATGAAAAAACAAACGATTATAAACATGCAATCGATATCATTCTCTCTCCATGCTCAGGTACTGTATATACTCACATCAAGCGTTCTCGCTGGATACCAAACAAGACGCAACCGATACGACGACTGAAACAACGCGACATATGTCTCTGTAGTAGAGAATGCTGTAAAGCTGAGAAAGCTGAGCCAAAGACACAACCATAATTGCAATGGTCAATTTTACATAATTGCAGCGCCCACCCGTCACAGACTCGCCACTGAGAATGGTTGTACTGTTAGAACTACAACGAATAGAAAATCAGAAAACTGTTGCACAGAATAGTGACTTTATTATTATTATTATCTTATTATCAAAATTATACTATCACATCAAAGTCAGACTACACTTCAATATGCGTTTGACGCATTGAGCTTGTTTTCCTGACTTCAACAAACTCCTCAATATTTTGTTAAGAGGTATATATCTTTCCGCATTGTCAGTGACTAAGCTGGTTACGCACAAGGATAGTTAACATCATCCAAACTAGTTGCTTGGTTGACTGATGCAAAGAATTCTGTCAAGGGTGCAGGATTCTTTTGTGGAGCAAGTGCAAGGGAAACCTTATCACTGTTGTGTCTGAGTTCGGGTTTAGAACCCAGTCACCTCAATTCCGAACCCAGACACTAAGTCGTTGTCTCAGAAATACAAGTTTATTCAAAGAGTGTTTGAGTCACTAGATCATAATTGTATCATTTTAGTTAGCATTAGTTTCTCATCTCAGAAAAGTTTTCATGAAGTTGAGTGTTGCAATATATGAAATTTCATAATATATGGATCAATCACATTTACCAAACAATATTGTACTTATAATTTCTGCAATTATTGAAAAGGTTAGCAAGAAATAAGAAACCCCTACTCCGCAAATTACCTTGTCATAGTTGCTATGGGAGGCAATCATTTCGTCGACAATCATTTCACCGACACCGACAAATCTTCACCAACATTATTTCGAAGTTATCCTTTTTTGGTAGTTAATTGTCGGTGAAATGTACTGTCGGTGAAATGATTGTCGATGAAATAATACGGACCCGTTGCTATTCTGAAAATAATCACTTTAATATTTAAATGGGTATTATCAGTACTTTTAAGTCTACTCTGATAATAACTATATTCACATCTTAATGGTCAGTTGAAATTAGTTTGATTCTCCCTCTGACATTACTCTAGCCTGCTTAATTCCATCCGCATCCAACATGTTACCAAGTAACAAAGTAATTGCATCAAGTATCCTCTTCAAATGTTCTTAAACCCATCTGGGTCCTTTTCGGATGGTCTGGGTTTGGGAGAGCGACTAATCGCGTAGGGGTGTTCTTCCGACCGGGGTTATTACCAGACTAGCTTCGTGCTACCGCCCTTACGGTAGTTGTTCAATTAAGACTGAATTCTAATCTACAAGTGACCTATTTATATAATTAAATTAAATGCGACGCTTCTCAACTCCCTATCCGAGCTTCAAATCACTCGTGATTCCAAATAAGGGTACCCACAATAAAATAACAACAACAATTGTTCTATTGCGGAATCAAAGGGGAATAAATTCTATTTAATATTAACGGGTTTATCTTCGATTTGGTATTTTGACTAGTCAAATTCTGTCACTTGTCTCAAACTAATAAACAATATTCGTTTAAATAATAATTAATAACTCTCATTCCTCAATTAAGAGTACTAGATCAACGGAAATTATACAGCCTAAGTGAGCCGTTTATTAATATCCGGTTAAATAATCAATATTGCAACGATGAAAGAAAGTAAAATTACGATTTCAAAGGAAATCGTTTATTTGATATTTAATTCCGCGGAGTGGAAAATAATATGAACAAAACTAATAACATATACAACATGAGAATTTGACGATGGGATAAGGGCCGCTTATATAACTAGCGATTACCAAAAATTGAAATACAATAGACGTACTAAATTAATTGTCAATCATGGGATCTGCGTGATTGCGGAGGAAGATTTTACCATGTGAATTACTTATCTGATCATCGGATCAGCGCGCCGTAACAATGATGATTGGTTTTGACATTCGGAACTTGAACTGCTTTTCATTCATATTGCACTCAATAAATTACCATGTTATAGCATCTGTTACAATACCATATGCTGTAGAGAGATTCTATTTCAGTATACTAATACTTGCATTTATGGGATGTCTATTTTCACAATTTTTTTCATCAATTAAGAGCCTCCACAAAAAATACAGTTGATTCATACATACCTGACAGGCCTCCAACTGAACCATATTTGTGCTATCCCACGCTCAAAATATAGTCTTCCTTAAGAGCTGCAATGCTTTCGTTTGAATCAATCTCCACTGGAAAAACCCTTGCCAAAGCGTTGCCATGAATTATACGAAAAGATATTAATATTGTTGCTCATTGGAACTGTCAATTCTGGCCTGACAAGGATGGAATAATTTGTCAATCACCAAATAAAAAACGAAAATGATAAAACTTATAATATATTTTTAATAGAGCAGTAACATGATTTGTGATTGACGCTGACCAACGAAAATTGTCCGGAGTGTAGCGAAGGACTTTCTATGCTGACCCCTGTAATATTCCTCTGTCCATCCACCTGCGTCACCTTATACGTTTACTCCTGCCTTTTCCCATTTTGAACAATAATACTGATAATAAACGCCAATAATAATAATCTTTCTTGTTTCCGTTTTCCTAATATTACATTATCGAGTCCAATTTATTATGACTGACTTGGTTCCAGGAAAAAACCCTCATCTTAGGATCATTATATCGAGAGTGACTGTGTATTATGTTCTATTCCGAAAATATGCCCGAGGCGCGTTTGTAATTCACAACAGTTTCGTGTAAACATGAAGTTTTATAAATATAAGTCCCCGGTATTTTCTAAAGTACAAACAACAACAAATGCCTCGACAACAAAACGGATTCAGCTTCCAAGCCAAGAAGGTCTTTCTCACTTATCCCCGTTGTGACCTATGTGTTGAAAATTGAGTTCATCACATGGACAAGGGGCAGCATATACATGTTGATTCTGCCGAAGAACATTGAGACGAGCAATTCGATCTCGAGGGGGCACCATCCGAATATTCAAGTTGCCCGCCCTCCGTCGTTATCCGACTAAAAAAGGCAATTTTATCAGTTCCGATGTTCGACCGGCCTCCGAGGAGGATATTACGTCACGTCTCTTTGTCAGTAACATCGTTTAGTCAATCTATCGATATCTCAGACAGGAAGCACGTTCTTTATCCAAGCCCAAACGCATGCATCCTATACAGTACACTAGTCGAGCGAGAAAAGGTCCTGGGTTTCGAATGGCACAGTATCCCGTTGGAATCAAGAAATGGCCTCAGTTATGTTGCATCTTTAGCAAAGCAGATAGGCGAAATAACCCGATAATGTTGAGACAATCCCCCACACCCCAAATGCTAAGACCGCCGTGACACTATCGACAACTATCTAATGGTAAAAATATTGAAGATCTTTCCCGCCGTAGCATAGAAGTCTTTCTCGCGTGTACCGCTTTGTCTATTACTTAGTTACAGCTGAGTTCCAGGGGGCGGGGCCTGTCTGCGCTTAGTAATAATAATTGTTACTATGGCCGATTATACTAGCACATCCAACAACATACCAATAAGAGGCTCTCTTTCCGCTAGATTCGATGTGTTCGCATACTTGGATTCCTTTACAGTAGTGGCGGAAATAATGAGAATTTATGTAATTACTTTATCTAATATTTACATGCTCCCTGTTTTATTATTATGAAAAAGTTATATATATAACGGATGTATAAATAAAAACAATATTTGAACTGACAACGCGTTCTTTGTTTACTTTTATAATTTTTGTTGTTAAAAATGCCTAAGCAATTTATTAGGTCCTATTCATTTCATGTTCCTGTTTCTGTTCCACTTTTTCACCTTCCAAATTTGTGTTGTATTTCTAATTTAGGTAATTAAAAGTGGGAACAAACATCGGACTTGTGTCCATTTTGTTCCTCATCAGAAAACGAATGTGAACACAAAATACGCATGGAAAATGTTAAAAAAATAATAAAAAAAGAAAGATCGACGATTCAGAGCTTGTTCTATCAGGAAAGTCTTCGCTATCGCTAGAAGAATCTGCAAGTAATAGTAATAGTGCTTGTTGAAGTAGTAGCAGAGACTTATTCATGGACGTGACGATATTCTTTCCTTTTTTTCGCTCTTCGAGTTTAAGCTAAAAAATGTGATTGGCAGTCAGTTGCAGATCATCTACGCATTTAGTTACAGGGACAATTCATGATGTATCTCAGCTTCATAATATAACACATATTTCCGTATCTACTTTATACAAAAACTTTCGGTAGCAGCTTCCCTAAAACCTAAATCCTGCCCAGGAAGGCCAAAAAAATTTTACTGCGGAAAAGCACATACATATTGGAAAATTAGCAAATTCAAGAAAATGTGCTAGCAGTAAAGATTGCTCATGTGCTTAACCAAACCTACCCAAACCTTAATATTGCACCAAGGACAGTCTGTGAGAACCTTTATAACCTCGGCTATCGCGTTTGTGTACCAGTTTCAGTACCAATGTTAACGGCTAATACAAATGGGCAAAGTCTCATCTTAACAAAAATTGGAAAAAATTTATCTTTTGTGATGAGACAACTTTCCAATTATTTCGCAATAAGATGTAAAGTGGGCCAAGAAAAGCCACGGCGTGCAATTGTCAAACATCCGTTCAAGGTTCATGCTTGGGGTGCTTTTTGTTCACAGGGAGCTATCGGGTTTCATTATTTTACTGAAAACATGAACGGGGAGAATTTTAACGGAAAATCTTTTCTCTAATGCTTCAAATCTACTGGGGAAATCATGGATTTTCCAACAAGATAACGACCCAAAGCACACCGCCAAATTAACAAAGGAACACCTTTAGCGTTCAATCGCAGGTGTAAACAAATAAAGAACGCACAACTCCAAATTAACAAAGGAACTTTTTAAAGAAAAATGCCCAAAAGTTCTTGATTGGCCCTCTTACTCACCTGACTTAAACCCTATAGAAAACTTATGGGCTATAATGAAGAAAAGGGGGCAAATCAACGTATTTCACAAAAATCAATTGGATTAAATAATTTTTTACTGATTATCCGATTAGAATGGGATAATATCGATAAATCTATTATGCTCTGGAATGAAAAAGCGTTTAGAGGCTGTTATTGAAAAAGGGGGCTTAACGATTGACCACTAAAGTTTTATTTTCATAAATTTACATTGTTACTAATGTGCAGATAAAATTTCATGTAAAATGAATACAAATTGGTTGAGTAATAGTAATAAAAAATTTAAAATCCTCATTATTTTCCGCCACTACTGTACGTGTTATTATTACAGTCAACTATGTACGGGTTGGCATAGTAATAGCTTTCTGTGTTCTTCCGGAACTGGTATATGCGGTCCGTCCGGTATTAGTATATACATTTCCGGTATAAACAGAGTTGACTGTATATCTTATTATTAATAAACGAGTAGCTCTTACTCTGAAATACACGATTTTTATTTTATTCCCTGGTATTACCGATAAACCGCATTTACGTTAATTAATCGGTTATTACGAAACGCGTTTGTAGACTATCGATTGGTAGAGGACGGATTAATTATCGAGGATTAGTGTCTACGCATCGACACTGAGGTTACGAGTAGAAAAGCTTACTTAAAAGGTCACTGTCATTTTATTTAGGAGACGCCACAACTCCGTTCGAAATTCCCTAGAGTCAATAATAATAATCGATAGCTCTCCCGCGGTTGTTGACTCGATAATAATAATACAAAGACAGCGGCAGGGCTACTTCTATGAAGCACAATTAAACAATATTTGGACGTTCTAATACCTTGTAATATGCAGTGATTTTTTAAGTTCACAATAGTTATTATTTCAAAAAGTCAACCAATTATTTCGTATTTATTTATTGATCCAATAGTATAGGTTGCTGAATTGCCAGATAATAATCAAGCGAATAGTTGAAACCGAAAAAGTCTTACCGAAAAGCTAATTTTACCAGAATTGAACTTATTAGATACTTGTTGATATTGAATACAAGATATGTTACTCAACCTATTTGAAACGGATTGGATGATTAAAGGGTTTTTTACCTAAGTGTAGTCTATTAACCTTACGCGTTCAAAAAATTTTCTCGGAGAAAATATTATTGGAAATCTGAACCAAATTTTGTGCACATAATAATAGTAAGTAAAAATAAAGGGTAGGACAAATCACGTTTTCTGCCATCATATTATCCATTATAAAATACAAAAATATAGTTCTAAGTTAATTAATCCTGGACGATATTATATAATAATCCGGTACGAAGGAGAAAGTTGTGTAATGCCATCCGCACGTCTGAAGAAATCTCACGGGATAAGAGGTTTATTGCGTCTGGATATATTTCAGAGAGATAATGGCGAAACTACAAGAATTAAGTCAAACGTATTAGTCACGTATCGAGGATTCATCAGATAAAAATTCTAGACAATATAAACCTACATCATCGTCTTCCAAATCGATGTATGCTTCAAGGACTGAAGTGACGACGGATGACCATGCAAGCACGTTCTTGTTCTGAGTGTCTGGCTCCATCGTTGAGAATTGTTTTAATATATGGGATATAAATCTGATAATAAATAAAGTCAGCGAGATCAATCAGAATATGGTTTATCAGAAATGATGGTCGCTCGCTAATTGCTGTAAATAAATTATTGATACTAAAATAAGTTCAATACTCACGAGACAAGTTTGTTCTTTACTTCATCCTTCTTTGATAAAAGGCGGTCATCATCTTCTTTCCGCAGCTTAGTGAGAAATTCAAAATAACAAATTGCACTAATTGTCTCTTGCTTCAATAGGTTGGGTAACTGATTCATGAAGCCTATATCATTATACAAACAATCGATTAACAATCTCTTACGAAATTTCACATCCTTTACCCTTAATCTCTACTACTCACCAATCCTCCACAGAGCGATCCTAACATCCATTCTCGCATTAAACTTCCTTGCAAACAAATGACTTTGGTGCAAACACTCTGCAATTACTAATATCTGATCAACTGGCATTGCTTCATACACAGAGTCTTTGCCAATTAATTCTTTGACAGTATCAATCAACACTATTTGCTGGATACATTTGACTATTATATCATTAAACTCTTCTTTCCTCTCTTCACTTAATTCGATTTTTAGATTATCTTGTTTTCTGAGTAGAACCTCGTTAGTAGAAATGGTTGAATGAGACTCAACACCAATTTCCAAGACAGAGCTTCGACCATTTGAGTGTTCCGATTCTGATGAAGACCAAAGATATTCAAACTAGTCATTAATACAATCAACGTAAAAGTACACTTCCATATGATTGTAATATTGTGCCCAACAACTTATTTAAAATTTTTTTACCGTCGCTGCTTTTTATTCGCTCTCTCTCTTTCCCATTCTTATTATCGTTGATATTCTCGTTATCATCTTTGTTATCGTTCCCATCTTTGCTCTCGATTTCTTGTTTGGCTATCTGTTCGACAATCTTCTTTGCTGCGTTTCTGTAATGATGAGCATCATCCAGTAGTTTATACGGTGTTGTTCTTTTAAATAACCGCGCAAACATCTGACTCAATTTACACCAATGACTGTAATTCAGCTTGTTTGTATTATCTTCTACAAGTTGTTGCAAACAAGAACTGCCTATTCTTGCCAGAGTGTCGTTTTCTGTTTCAAATACAAATGATTGATTGAGAAGTGTGAGCATAGATTACGGATGTCAAAAGTAGTATATGTCAAATAACGACACTGCCTTCTTACCTTGACATAAACACGAACCCAACAAATCTAAAATGCCCTCTATCATATTTCCAAGTGTCTCGAAGTAGTAAGTGAAGAGATCAACTAAATTTCGAAGTGCTTGTATCATTGTAGTCGATAACCAAACACTCATATCCTCCTGGTTGGCAAATTTGGAAACATCCGATTTCGATTTTAATACACCAAATATAGGAAATAGAACTTGTCTACAGATTACATCCCAGAACTCTTCAGAATATCTAAGCCCATATTTCTTCAATGTGTCAAATAAGTAATTCAATGCCCTGTAATGCGGGAAGAAATTTGAATCGCATACGGAAACAGTTAGAGATTCAATAATCCGTAGTCCTGCTTGCAAGTTTCAAATCCTCGCCGCATTATTGTCTTTGTGACTATCCGTATTCTTCTCATTACCTTGTTCTAACTTCAAGATCGTCACTATTCATGAGGACATCATGAAATCCAAATAATACGGGATACCAAAATTTAAATGATGGATCATCATTCGTGATAAATTTGCCCTCTGTCGATATACCGTCAGCAGAGAGAACAGTGGCTGTGATGTGGTATTTTGGATATTCCAACATCTTTAACAATGACTGAGAAATGAGTTCGATCGCTTGAAGACTGTAGACGATCAGAATAAATGAGTACTATAAATTTCAAGTAAGTGCATCTTGACAATACACATATGTTTTACCTGATCTTTTGGTAGTTATTATTCTTACAGAATTCACACAAACACACCATCAAGTCAGGGTAAGTACTATTCGATACAACTGCTTCAAAATGGTTGTTAAATAATCCTTTAACCAAGTCAAATGCCATCAATACGATAGACTCTGAAAAAATATATATAGCGAATTGGAATAACAAAAAATTACAAATTTTGTTAGATTAGTACAATAAAAAAAAAGAGGTCTTTTCATCGATCAAAATTCCTCCCGCTCACCATTGTTCTCTCTGGCAGCAGCAGCGTATACTCCAAACATTGTCTTCCAACCAGATTTAAGATTTTGGGATCTCGCTTGCACCATCTGCTGCATGCATCTCAATATCTACAAATAGATCAAATAATATTCAATACAGCCCACCTGCAATTCGTAATTCAGTAACGTTTATCAAAAGCAATAACTAACCATATCCTTAATAGCAATGTTAGGATTATTAGCCAGAATGTAAGCGAATGGTTTCAGAAAATCCTTTTGGAATTGGAAATGAGGTAGTTCCTCTTTGTCCAAGAACTGCATTGACAATTGCCGAAGAGAATCAATTGCAAAAAATCCGACGTTCACATTTGGATGACATCCGACCTGTAACGGGGAACGATTAACAATTAAGCACATTTACAGAATTAACAAGAGATTGATGTAATAACATAGTCACCTGTTTGAAATGCTCTCCCAGTATCTGCCACATTTTAGACCATTCCATACGAATGCGGCTCATATTATAATATGAAATTTCGACCAACTTTTGAAGACTAAAAATTCGCGGATGCTCAGTCATCGAAGAAGATTGAATTTCCTCCCATGAGACATCACTCAGAGCACGCACAAATTCAACGATAGCTGTCTAAATAATTCCACCGAGAAATTCTGATTAGCGAGCACTTGTCAACTGAAAGCATAGTCATGAAAATAATATATATTACCCCAGAGAGTTTAGGACTGGTACTAAAGATTTTATCCGCAGCAACAACCACCTGCGAAGAACGACTCTCCAATGCCACGTCTTCCGCATAAACAACCTGTTTAGCAAGAATTGTTAATCAAAAACCCATGCTCTTAAATAAATATAACTAGAATTATTTGCCAAACTTACATATGGGGATGGTTTCGACAGCCTTCTGGACAGCGAAGTTCTTCTTGATTTTTCATCAACCGATTGCTTCCTACTTCAACATAGATATAAATACAACACATTGGATCAATACATTGCCCATCTAGATTTCAGTACAATAAATCAAAGCTGTTAATTATTCACGGACTGTAACACACCTCGGTTGTTTCCTAGCATTAAATAAATCAGGCACTGTCGTCTGATCAACTCCCGTACTAATTAGTTGAAACCTTTCTAACTGGCTCACACAGGTCAAAACTTCCCTCCACGACCCTTTCAAACTATTTCCCTCGATCAATGCAATTCCTAACAATGTTTTAATAGCTTCCACATTTTTTGGTTTCATCTCCCCCAGATTGTTCAAAAATGTAAATTTGGATAATGTAGTCACAAATGCGTTACGTTCTAATTCCATATCAAACAGACAGACAATACGAATGGCAAGCTTAAATCCTTCTATGGCAAAGTTGGCTGTCTCAAGATCCTCTGTATCTTGTAAAGGCGCAGAGAGACCGGCAAGAACGGGCATCCAGGCTACTTCGAACATAGGGCGTACGTGTTCGATTTGCGAGGCAGAGTAGAAAGTCGTGTTTGCCGTGTATATACCTCTTCGTTGAGCTCGAACCATCGAACGAAAGAGGTTCTAAAAGCGGGTAAGAAACAAGGTATCAGTTGATAATGTGCACACATATTAGACAAGAGATAATATTGGGCGTAAATGATAGACACAGGATACCTCGGTCTTGTTAGCCATCTCCTCCGACGCAGCAACATAAGCTTCTCTCTTGAAATCTCTTCCTACATTTGCCAATGCACTTCCTAAACCAGCAATACCTCCACTTGACGGCGGAACAGCATGTTGCATCAAAGCAGCATCTTGCTCATCTTTCATTTTTATTTCATTATTCTGTATTTCGTCGTAAATAGCCGAGAGCAGTTCCTCGGGTAGATCAGCATTATCGTTAATGCCACGGTTGTTCTTGATAAATTCTTGTTTGGTCATCCGACGTTTTATTTGCGGGTTGTGGAGATCAGTGTTGAGCATTATTACCGAGTATGCGAGAACGTAGGCAGTATCTTTTGGTGGCAAGATAAAAATTTTAATTGTGCAATGATTAGTGAAACCGTATAGAAGCGATTATCACGAGAATGACAAGAATGCTCCATCTGTCCATCGTATTTTTCTCACCAGCATTAGCAAATTCCTTGGGATTCCCATCGACATATCTTTCAGCAAACTTTAACATGAATCTATCAATCTTTTGCGCTTCACCAGGTAACCTAAAACTTTGCAAAAATTTCTTCAATGCATCCACAAACTTTGTAGATGTAAAATCCATCATATCAACAAAAGCATGCATGATTGCAATGTTCTCAGTATTGCCCTCTCCAAGGTACTCCCCAATCATTGTTTTATTCAATCCTTCTGTAGTTAGTAGGAATTTTGCAATTTCAATCGGTTCAGAAGATGAAATAAAATCCGAAGCGATAAGAGCTTCAATACCCCTTTTGGGTTTGAAATTAAATTTTCTGATGCCTTCTTGCAGTACTTGTTTCCTTTGCTTTGATCTTTCAAATTGTTCGGGATCATCCATAGCTTTCGTCTTTTCTATGTTACTACTTTGCGACGACGAACCCACAGACATTGTCGATGACGTAGGCGACGACCTTATGGGCGTTCCAACTGCGCTAGGCGACAAAGGCGATGATGTGTCTTGTAATGTCTCTTCGCTCTTTCTGCTTGTGATTTCAGTCTCTTCCTCGTTATCAGTTGATTGTTTGCTACTGCACCAGGCAACAAGAGAACGAAGTATGGATACGAGACATTCAAGACCTTGACCGCGGAGAGCCAGTTGAGCCGCGTTATTTGCAGCGGTTTGTTGGGCCTTGGTATTGGTAGACATAGAGGCAATACTGAGGGATGGAGGAATAACTACAGATGCGGAATTGTTTTGAAGCGAAGACGTGATAGAGTTGGAGTCACGTTCTTTTGTTGTATCGGAGACAATGGCAGATGAGGCCGATGTGGTTATTTTCGATACAATATTGACAATTCTGATGTGTACACGTAAAACATACACGTACAGAAAACGAGGGGAAAAAAAGAGAATCAATACAAAATAACATCTTGATGATGCTGGCCATAAGTATGCGTATATACCTTTCGTAAATGTTATCAACGGCTTCTCTTTCACAATCGTAATTTAGATAGATTTCGACCAAGGCCTGCGGATCAGCACATATTCTCAGAAGGACGTTGAGCAAAGCATACTTTTGTTGTGTTGATGAATTACGCATCTCTAGAATAGGCAAGAAGATTTCATTGAAGAAGACTTCAATTTCTTTCTGTCCAGTACATATAATATATCCAATGACAAATTAGAAGATAGATTACGTAAAGAAAAGACCATATATGCAAAAACACCATTCTACCCCATTGCTTCTTTTTCATCACAGGAAATACCGTTCTTTGTATACTCACTTTCAAATGCACTCTCAATTGATTCATGCATTTCCAAAAAATCTCTAAACTAATCTCGAACACTTGCGGCACGGGGCTAACCGCGTTCCTACTCAAGCTCAAACACAGATACTGCTTTACGGATTGAATAAATGAAATCGCTTCATTGGTCGACGAACTGACGATAACCACGTTGGGTGATGTGAACACTTGCATGTGTGACGAGAGAATCGTCAGGATCAAATGAAGTGAGAGAAGTTTGGACCGCATAGAATGTGATTTTAAATCAGACGTTTCAGAAGTGACGGGTTTCATTGACAACTTGCAGAGTGCACGAAATACGAGAAAAGCGTCTTTGGCGTAGAGGTTGGAGTGACCAAAGGTGAAAGATATGTGCTGGGCCGGTGATAAAGGTGGATGAGTAGGTGAAGGTGGAACGGACCTTGATCGGATAGATTTAAAATATACAATGTTATAAGTTGCGATTAAACAAATAATATGCATGGTCTTCTTTTAGAACCTCGAAAACATGGATATCGCATACTAAACTAAAATTTCCGACCTACCCACTATTATTCTTTCGCTCGCTACCGCCTCTCCCTCCAATCTGGGCGCCTTTCACATTACTCTCTTCGCCTCTCACCCCTTCCATTTCTTCCTCAACAGCCTTCATAATCTCCTCCCTAGAGTCGTTTCCTTCTTCCAATTGCCCAATTTTACCAACTTCATTCTCGTTTTCATCGTCATCGTCATCGTCATCGTCATCGTCATTGGAATGAATGTCATCACTATCTGATTTGGTAATGGTTCCCAAATCTACTTCAGTCTCGGCTGTCCCAGAAGAGGCGATTGTATGGGACAGTATGTTATCATATGATATGGTAGAGGGCAAATTCGAGTTGGAATTACTATTAGGAATAGAAGAGGTTGGAGAAGGAAGGGAGGCCGTCAATCCGTCAAGTTTTATTCTGCTAAAAACATGGTGAACCATTTGGGTCAGCGTGCCTTGAGCTATGGTTTGGTTGGCCGAATTACGAGAAAGTAGAAAGATGTTGTAGGATGTACGGATGGCTTTGAGGAGAGGAGTTTGATGTATCGGATTTGTTGTGGATGATACTGCGGCCAAAAGAGCCTATAAAAGACAAGAATAATTCACAAATGTGAGCGGCATATTACCGCGGTCGTAGTATCCATTAAAGAGCCCCATATAGTAAACAAATTTCCCTGACTTTTTCATACCTTAACAATTTGTAATTGGACCTTGTCATCAGTGCTCTCACCGACAAAACAATCACAAATTGTATCAACCACCATTTCCATCAAAAGTCGTTTCTCCACTTTTGCCGGTGTGGCTCCGGATTCATTCTCGTGTTCGGTTTCAGTCGGAAGTGAAGTAGTATCAGGAGGCAGAGTAGAAGAGCGAGTGTCGTGTTCTATGAGATAGTTATAAGAGATGAGTTTACTTATACAGTCGAGAGCCGTGATCATTAAAGTCGTGGAGCCTGTTTGACATGCTAGTTGCAGAGGCTCGAAAATTATATATCCGTCAAAGCTGTTTAGGTTTTGGCTACAGACGTGGGCAGGAGAAGAAGACAGACGGTAATTTAGAGATGGCGATATACCACAGTAATAAGTCAACTATGCTAGTCACCTGTCTTTTCCATTCTCATCATGCTGAACCATATCTGTAGATAAACCCGTATTATAATCAGTGAACCATTCGAGAATAAAGGTCAACACCAACGCGCATACATGTATGTCAATCATCGGCTTTATCTGCCCTTAGGTTTCTAACGTAGAGCCTACCTAAAGCTTTGGACACGCTCTCTTTCAATTTCTTGTTCCTCCTTGCCTCTTTGCTAGACGCTATACTCTCTAAAGCATTAACAATAAATACAGCACTCGATGACACCGAGGTCAAATTCACATTAAATTTCACATGCGACTGTATTGCGCTCGTTGGTGATGCAATTTCTGATGAGTGAAGCAAATCCGCATCGTGAGATGGATGTCCGGCACTTAATGCCTCGGAAGAATATGCCACCTCATCTGCGCTCTCGCTAGCTATCTCGGGTCCATGTTGAGTTTCTAGCGGCGTTTCGGATGTTGTTGTGGCCATAGTTTGTGGTTAGGATCGATCGATCTGACGGAAGTGATTAGTACAAGGTGAATATTAGAACCAGATTGAAATTGTGATAGATTGTAAGGTTTGCAGTCGGTGATTTGTCGAATGGTAGTCAAATGCGTGTAAAAATCTTTGCGATTCCGTGATTGATATAAAAAATCGATTTCGAACACTGCAATTCATGGAATCATAGTAAAAGGCTCTTGCAAATCCAATGCAAAAAGCGTTTAAAACTATCGAGTTTCCTCTATCCTTATATAACCCCCGTCATAACACTGATCTTTTGCGATCTGTCAAAGTACCCAATCTCACCTTATTCTTTTATTCTAATTAAAAAAAGGGATTACAATTAAATGTAAAATGTATTATTATGCAATGTTCAAGTGTGTGTCTATATTCCGTCTAATTAGTCCAGAGATCCGTCCGTACCAAGCCTGCATTTGGTTTTCTTGGGCTCTTTGACGTGATGAAAAAATAATATAACGGTTTGTTGAAAACAGTTTCTAACAGTCAGATGATCTGTCACACCATTGTCACACGAAGCGCTATTGTACATTCTAATTCTATACATTCAGCCGCATTTTAATTTGATAACGATTACCGATGACAACTTGGCAAGAATGTGCATTTTTCTACACCCCAGTTTGTGGTAAGTAGACTTAACTCATAGATCACGTTATATAATAATATGAACCTTGTCACGTTTGATTCGATATACAATAATAAATTATATCAACTTTTTTGATATCACTTTACAACTTTTCTAATGCAAAAATGCGTCTGATTAGTCGATAAAATACAAGCAACCTTTAAGGGGAAGAAAACCTTAGTGTAGTAAATACAAGTATATTATTATTATCTGAAGCATGTCGGTTCATTGCCGCTTGTCATTTGACGTATTACTGTTATACAATTGACTATCATAAAAATTATATTTCAACAACTAATAAACCCACTTATTATTCTCCAATTTAAACTGCCTCTTCTTTTTACAAATCGATGCAGATTGTCTCTACCAAAACAAATTAGAATCAGAATTGTAATAAGTCAATTCTGTATTATTCGGTGCGGACAGTTCAGGGTAAGTATATAAAAGTGGATCGTAGCCAAGATTTATATACTCGTAATTTCGGCTCGTCCCGTGAACGGGACAGTTCAAGTACGGGGAATTCGCGACTGTAAACAGAAAGGAGCACATGAATAACTAGCGTCACTAACTCTGGTGTTTCTACTTTATATGTTTGATTGGCTAATGTTAACGAATACTTAAAGTGAACGCACAAAGTCTAGTCAATTTGTGGCTATCAATATTGTATATTTATAATGGTCTTACCTTGTCTCGAATGCAACGACTTACTTGAGCTCCCTCTTTCCCTCTTTTTTCTTTGTTTGTGCTTTTCTATACGATGTTGTAATTTAATTAATGTTTTTTCGATAAGTTCTATTTGTTCTGAGACACGCTGTTTGTAATCTTTTTGAGGCCCACGTTTTTTGGTTGGCTCCATAAATTTGCACACGCGATTCTGCTTCTTGCAGCCATCACACGGTGCAACACCTGTGCATCTGATCCGCCGCACTTGACAGCCTATACATGCTGTTGTGACTTTTTGACGTGTGGGAGTCGCGATTTCAGGCATTTCGGAGAAAATAGATGGGCGATTATCGAAAACCATGTCCATGTTTCGGGTTTTAGCAGGCCGATGGGAATAGGCTGTGTAGGTGGTAAAAAGTAAATGCCGAGGATTGGAGGAAGACAGTTTTTTTTCTCATCTTTTCCCCGCTTAAACTCTTTATATGCTTTTTTCTTTCATCACAGTTACTTTATTTGACGTATACTGCCTGCCACTCAAACCTATTGTGGTGTTGTATGCGATAAACATGGAAATGAATCTGAAGCTTAGAAGGTTACATGCATTCTTTGTTGGGTTCCAAATTTCTTTATGTCAATTCCAAAAAAATTTCACTTCCCATGTACAAGGCAAAATATAGCAGTTTCTCGCTGTTTATTGGTATATAACCCAAGACATTTAATTGGTGCGTATTATGGGTTGGGTTATTATTTATTTGGTACCGCAATTGTGACATGGTAACATCTGGCGACAGTATCCAAATACCCAAATTGACTTACATAAAAAAAATCCAGCAATTTCTAAGTGTTTAGTTTACAGCCATGTTTGTCATTTAATTAATGCACGACCTGCATATGCGTATAACAAATATACATTTGCATTTAGAAAGAAAGAAAAATTTACAGTATTAATTTACACCAATGTTTAATATTGATGAATTCAAACCCGATATTTCGGTAATACAATTCTTCAACATTATAATATTGTTACTCTCTTCTTTAATGTCCGCTTCTCGGAGATAAGAAAAGCGGTTGACTGTGATGAATGAATGCATTTTATGAACAACTACTGGAAATAGATATATAATGGGTAGCGAGTCAACAATAACAATGGAGTGATTGTGCTCTTCTGTTTATATTAATATAAATGAATGGATCAGTTAATGCGTCTCGTTGTTCTATAAGGGGTTGCTTCGTAACCGAACCTCAACCATTTTCGTGAGGTTGTTGTTGTTGTCACACATCAGTGTACGTGAAACATATAGATCGATAAAGTTGATCCTTGTTGAGAATGGAAAGACATCCGGAACGATCATTGAGCTTAATTGCTGCGTCTGTAAAAAAGAATAATATTAACGACGTGTGTTACATGTAGCAAGCACCAAAATGTAGGATAAATGAGGCATCGAAATTGTTTCAGGTACGCACGCCATATTATACCAAAGTCTCTAGCATTTTTGTGGTGTATACCGATAGATTTGCTATTAAACATTGAAAAGGTCAATGGGCAAATCCATCAATTTTAGAATGCGAAGTTCTTGTAATGATCGTCATTCATCATTATTATTTAATGTCCGAATTTACTAACCATTATATATGGATTTGTAATACACACGGATACACACGACGATACACAATCCAATTCAAAGTTCAAGCGTTCCCGCAACCCGTCCCCTGTCTGTACGAGGATTGGTGTAAATAAATTTTTAGAAATTATATTGTGCTAGGATTATTCCCATATATGGACCCATTTATAATTTACTGGGAACTCGATGCCTAGAGATAACGCCCGCTCCTTGTGAGTCTTTCTTCAATTTGTAATTGGGACGTGTTGGACAACATACCGCCACGATATATTTTTAGTTTTGTAATCATATTATAACCCACAATTACTTTTTATTTTGATCATTCAATACCGTCAAATGATAAATGGGGAGTAAATACTTGTTAAGTTAGTGTGCTTGTTGACATCTTGAATGTCTGTAAAACGATAAATATTTATATCAACTAGTCTTATATTTGAGTGTATTTAGTCTCATTGTTTGCACCATTTGTGGTTCGAGGAAATTGAGCAAAGGTTTTTAGCCTCTCTAAAAAATGAGCGTCTCTAAATGCATTATGTAAGCCAATTTCTTAATCCACAGGAATAGAATCCTTTACAACTTTAAATCTTCAGGTTTCTAAAGAACGACAAACTAGTAGCTAAAACTCAACAGATGAAGATAATACTCATCGTATTCTCAATTGGTCTACGTAATAAAGGAAGCAACGCGTAGGAATGTATGTTATCCAGTTCAGTAACGTTATTCTCAATTTCATTAGTAAAGCAAGTTTTGTATTAAGAATAAAGTAAATTCAAAATGCAATGAAATATTATTAACAAATGAGCAAACCAATCGACAACTCCGCTCTCGTGCTGAATTACACTTTTAGTATTTAAATAAGCAAAACTGTTTATATGCCGTGCACGATAAAAAGTTGGATGTACACGTTATCTATTACATGATAAAAAGTTGGATGTATACGTTATCTATTACATGATAAAAAGTTAGAATGTATACGTGTATCTATTACTTAAAAACCTTATTGAACATTCTCATCTGTGTTTCGAATTTCTCTTCCCCCACCATAAATATCGTTACAATTTTGTTAATCTGTTAATTGTCTCTGGGATTGCTCAGGGCCAGAAGCTTATGCAAAATTTACGTCTTTATTGACTACTATGGATTAACTTATAAAATAATATAATAATCGTAAAGCAATACTAATCACGCGCGCCTTTTAAACTAAGCTGTGTTTTCAATGCTGTTAAACTTACTATATTCAATCTAGATAAAAGAAGGTCGTGGTCTTGTTATACGAAAATATCCACAATTAATCAACCCAGGTTTTTGCAGACTCACCCTCCTATCCCCCCAACTTTTACTCTTAAAGATCAAAATTAACAAGATGTCCCTTCTCGCTTAATCCCATCGGAAGATAATAGCGAGAACGATTAATTATCTAGGATTAGCGTCTGCAGATAGAAAAGCCTAGTTTAACGGTTACTATTTAACTAAAAGTAGAACTTAGCTAATCCCTAGCGTCGACTTTGAACATACGTACGAGATAGCAAAGCGACGAGTTTCTTTAGTTGTCATACTTTTCAGTTCGTTGCGCAGATCTGAATCGTTTTTCATGAACGATTTTTCTGCATCATAGTCGGTGGTAATTACTTCATGGATATTTTCTATATCCGACCAATTTACGATGGTGCTTTCGTCGACATTCACTGCCCATATGAATGCTGTCCTTTTTGGCTTCACTGTGACAGGGCAAATGAACATGCCATTCAATGAGAACACGCGCATAATAGTTTGTGCCGTAAAAGAAATGTTGTATAGCGATGTCTGGAACTGAGACAACTGAGTTCTGAGACAGGTCCCGAACTTAGACACAACAGGCGCACCACAATAGCATGGATATGCTTTTTGGGAAGGGAATTGTTGCCAAACACGTCGACCACACCACCATCCATTTCATCAGCTCGTACACCTTGCAGCGCGCTCTGAATGTCGATGTTTGGGTCATTCTGGGAGGCGACTCTGTGTTCCACCCGCCAAATATCGAGCCTGTCAGCGTCATAGTCGCAGAGCTCATGTTGCTTCTTTTTTCAGACCTCTTCCTTAAGAGCTGCCATGCTTTCGCTCCTCGTGTAGATCTTCACTGAGAAGTCCTTGCGCGTGAAATATACAAAAGATAGTAATAGTGTTGTTTATGGGATATACGCGTTTATTTCACTAGTACCAAGTTCAACTTCAAAACTGTGCATGAAATGTTTTTCGCGCCTTATCATAAATATTACCGCGCTTAGTTGTAATACACGTGGTAATTTTCCAACCATTATACTGATCGATTAAGAAGACGCGAAAAATCCTTTTTCTGTTATCCATAAATCACCATGATTTTTATACGGTTTTAAAGCTAATTACGTGTAATTGTAATGATGATATCCTCGGTCCTGTTTTTCATGTGTAACATAGATACTCTAATTATTACAGTAACGTACGGACAATAGAGAACTTTGAAAAGAAGGATTTCCTAGGCGATCAGCTTGGAAGGCATTAATTATGATTTTAGAAAAAGAATTAAGCAAAGCAAATATCCCCTTTTTGATTAACTCCGGCTGCAGGGACGACTGTAATATGTAATAGTGATAGCGCTAAAGAGAAAGAGAAATAGAAATTAGAACATCATTCTAAAACGCACATGACGTGAAATGTTCACTTTGCATTTATTCAAACTATATACATATAAGAATACCCTAACGCTAATGTATAAATACAAATTTGGTATGATTCTACACATGCTATAATACTAACAATAGATATTTGTCCTAATTTATCTTGTACATATCGATATGGATAGTATCTTAATCTATTTGGCCGCAGCCCTGTTTCTACAATTATGTTGATTGATGTTGTACATTTCACAAATTTAATATTAACATGCAGTCAGTATCATATATCTGGATATGTAAACTGGCGATTGTTTCCAGGATAATTGACTGCTTCATCGGATGAGTAGTCCTGCTCTTCATTCATGTTTTGCTCAAAGGGGCTTCTGTCTCTTAGGTTTGGGAAACACAATAGTCTGCTGACATAATGTGTGCCTTCTGCTGGATAAAATACTTCTCTTTCAAAATTTGCCAACTCATCCACAAATCGTTGGGCATCCTCGAAATCCCTGCCCAGTTCACTTCCACTTGTCATTTCAAAAATCCAACTCTGTATAGTCTTGTTTAATATAGTCGCGTTTGGTCTTTTAGACTGATCTTCATCCCAACATTCCATCATTAGTTGCTTGAACGCGTCTGGTATTTTATCAGGTTCCTCTGGCCTGCGTCTTTGGTGACATATCTCATATGCAAGGTCTTTGTCATGCGGATCGTCATCAAATGGTCTTTGCGCAGCAGCAACAGACCACATGATCACACCGAAACTGTAGATGTCAGCCGCTTTAGTATATTCATGCCCGAGTAATATTTCGGGTGCAACATATGGTAACACTCCATATACAACATTACTTAAAGGTGAGTCAGCTGGTCCACTTAATCCAATATCAGCAATACGCGCGTCTACCGTATTCAATTCACGATTCCAATCCACTAATACATTACCCCCATGTAGATTACCATGTATTAAATCAATTCTGTGGAGAAGTTCCAGTCCTTCTGATATTCCCCAAATCGTCTCGACTCTTTTTTGCCAGGATAGCTCCAGTCCGTTTTTGTCTATAAAGTCGTAGAGATTGCCAGCTTCGTAAAACCTCATTACGAACATGTAGCAGTCCGTCAAGTCCTTTGTAATTCCATATGTATCTACCATACGGTGGTTGTAAAGAGCTTTTTGATTTCTAGATATCTGTTAATTTTAAGATTGAATTGTCAATACTATTAACATAAGAGTCCGTAGTAGGTAGTTACAAACATAGGTAAATAAAAGTACATGAACAAGTAGAGAAAAGAGAACTAATCCGTTAATAAATGCATTACATTGAATGATATAAACCATGTCGATTAACCTCCGTTTCATCCGACCACTCCATACCCACCTTCTCCAAAAATTCCCTGCTCATTCTACACGAATTATCCAATCTCTTAAGTGCAACTTTAGTAGGACCCAGTCGCCTCCATTCTAACGAAATCTCATCCCAAACACTTCTCGGTCCTTCTAACCAGATAGCCTTATACACTGCACCGTATCCGCCCCTAATAGAATACGTAATAAGTTCAAACTGATCAAAGGGAATCCATTCCAAGAAATCTCCCCCTTGTTTTGCATTTTCTTGCGAGGTACGAACAATGGCATCGATCTGCTCGTTCCCACTTGTCCAGTTTGAAAAGTTTTCTTGAAACCACTGTGATTCGCATGCATGACACCAATTGAAGATTGTACGTGCTTTACCGCAGTCGCGGCAATTACCATAGAGTACCGACGGTGGGGAAGGAGGTTGTGATGGCAAGTTCATTGATGTAATTTTTTGCTTTATTTATAAAGAATTAAGTTTTTCAGTTTATTTGGGGAAATGCGGTCGATATGCGTTATTGTTGAATGTTGTGATAGTCAAAGGCAGTTGTGTTTATGGGCAGAGTAATATAAATGTCTACTCCTTTTTTCAAAAAACACTATCTTGCAAAGAGAAATGCTTTGCTAAATTCTTACATATAACGAAAACGACACTTTAAACCCCAATACTTTCGGCTATTCGCCGTATCAAGTGTATATAGACTATAATGAGAATGTAGAGATTCGACAAAGAGCTGGTGCTACGATGTCGATTGAATATCATTAACAGAACGATAGGGCATTGGGTTATTTTCTTGAGTAACCATCAGATCAAAGCCAAAAACAGAACAATCAAATCCGTGCATTGTGCAAAAGCTGCCCATTAATTTCACGTGGGCAAAAATCATCTCGAAATATTAATTAATATTGCTCATCAAATAATAAAGTACATTTATCAAATAATACAACAATCTCTGATACATGAAAAATAATAGTTATACATTCAGTTGATTTTTACATCATAAATAAGTGTCCCTTTTTTTTAAAACTAAATCCATTCTATAAATTAATCTCCACCTTCCCTGTTAATGAATCATATACATTGCATATTTACTATTCCACCCAGTACTATTATGGATGTCATTATTTCAATTGCTCTACTATTTCCCGTGCTCTAATATATTATGTCTTTTCATAACAAAATACAAGTAAAGCATCTGATGAACTACTAGAAACACATAAATTTACTTCTCTTAGCTATTAACTCCTCCATTCTACTCTCTAACAACAACCTAGCTCTCTCCGCCTTTTCTTTAGCTTTTCTCTCCTCCTCTCTAGCCTTCCTCTCCTCTTCAAAGCAATTCTGCAATTCTCTCTTCTCTTCTTGCACTGATTTGGCTTTTTCAAGTTCTGCCAATGCATTCTCCAATTGCAGATGTAACTTCTTCACAGTCTGTGATGATTCGGTCTTTTCTTTTCGTAGTGTATCAAGTTGTTGCTTGGCAGTACGGAGCTCCTTCTCATATTCGGTGACTTCATTCTCAAGCTCAGATACTAATTGACTGGTTTGGATACTCTCTCCTTCCATCTTAGCAATCTTCTTATGAAGCTTCTGCATTTCGGCTGATACGTCATTTGTCTGTGATTCGGGGTAAGGGCGTTGAGGTATGCGTAGAGGTGGTGGTATAACACCTGGAGATGAAACGTCGGGTGACGGTGACGGTGGCGGAGGAAGCTCGGTGGGAGGAGGAGGAAGTGGTTGATTAGGTGGTGGAGTTGGAGGAAGTGACTTGAGCATATTTGCTGCGGCACCTGGTCGTAATCCGGTACGTTTAACAATGTCTGACGAGAAAGAAGACGAACGTGAACGTGTCCGTGGACGTGTACGAGCGGCATTAACCATTGCGTCAACGTCTGTACCTTGGGTGTTGACGGTAGGCGAACTAACGACTTTTGAATTCCTTCGTTCGAGATCGGCAATCTTCTCTTGAAGTGATTTAATGAGTATATTCTGCTGTGTTATGGTGGCTTGGACTTTAGCCGGAATTGTGTTATCGTTGAGAATATTTTGTGATGCGCCATCTTGTATGGTAGCACTTGGAAGAGACACATAACCAGAGTCCCATGACTCATGACCTCCCTTGGTGTGAATTTCAGATCGCTCCTTGAGTTCACGATCTAGTCTTTCATTTTCGACAAGTAATCTTCCTATTTCTCGCTCCATTTCTAAAGAATCCTGCTGTGCCTTTTGTTTTTTATCCTCAACTTCATTCTCCAACGAATTAATCTTGAGATTGAGTTCAGCAAGCATTGTTGCCGTTGAATTTCCTTCCAACCCAGAGGCTTGGAGTTGCTGAATCAACGATTCTACTTTCTGGTCTAGCTTCCCTCGATCTTCAAATAGAGTTTTATTAGCTTGTTCAAGCCCTTCGTTTTCTGCTTCAAGATGATCGATTCTTTCTGTTAAAAGCGCATTCGAATCGTTGGATTGAGCGGATGATTTGTATTGGGCGAGTTCAAGCTCGATTTTCTTCATTTGATCTTCGAGCGATGTAACAAGTTCGACTTGCATCGCCTCAGAAGCCTGTACTTGTCCGAGCTCGGATTGTACTTTGGAGAGATCTTCTTTCAATGATGCAATTTCCAATTCTCTTTGTTCTAACGAGTGCTTTGTTTGATCGTGTTGCATACTAATTTGTAATATAGTGTTATAAGGATCTTCATCACTTGCAAATATTTCTTCAGTTTGTTTTGACTTAAGTTCAACATCCGCCAACTTGGTTTCCAACTCTTTCACTCTTTCGGATTTCGCTTTCTCTGCAATTCTAGCATTTTCAAGTTCCAACTGATTGTCTTCTATTGAAGCTTGTAGCTGTGCAACCATAGAACTGTTAGATGCTGATTCCTTCTCAAGACTAGAAGTTACAGATCTCAACTGTTCTTCCAATTCGGCGACAACCATAGACTGTTTCTCTTCGGCAGACCCCAGCTGTTCTTCCAGTTCACCAATAACCACAGCCTGTTTCTCCTCAACAGCTTTGGCATCAGCAAGTTCTGATTTAACTTGTGTAAGATCTTCTTTCGATTGAGCGTATTCTTGCTGTAATTCAGCAAGCGCCAACTCGAGGTCAGCTGTAGCTTTCTTATAATCAACATCTTTTTGTTCGAGCAATTTTGTAAGCTCGTCAGTACGCTGTAAGGACTCGTCCCTTTGTTTTTCGGTAGCAGATAGTTGGTTCTCAAGTTCTGTCAGAATGTCGTTCAATGCTTGCATTTCAAGTTTACTATTGGTTAGTTGCTCGCGAGCTGCTTTTTCATTCTCGGCTAAGACTGTCGATATCTCTTCCTCTAGTTGTTTAACCATCACTTCAAGCTCTTCTTTTTGTTGCAGAGTCTTGTTAAGTACTCTGCTGAGTTCATTCAACTCGTTTGACCCAGACTCAGAGTCATTTCTAGTATTACTTAAGTCTTTTTGCAAAAATTCTATCTCACTTTCTAGCTTGACAACCAACTGCGACTGAGTTTCGAATGCATCTTTCAAATCTTGCAAGTCTCTGTCCACTTCATCCTTGGATTTGCGTGATAGTGCGAGATCGGCTTCGAGCTGTGCCTTTAGTTCTTGCATTTCTTTCACTAGATTTTCTTCGCTCTCTTGAGCCTTCCTGAGTTTCTCTTTCAACTCTTCTGCCTCTTCCTCTTTTTCCAACAATTGCTTCTGTATAAGGTTCTTATCAAGTAGATCACGTTTTAGTACTTCAATAATGTCATGCTTTCGTTTTATATCTGCATTAAGTTCGTCAAGGTGTGTCTGAAGAGAGGCAATATTTTCCTGTTGTGCTTGTAAACTCTCATCAGTTATCGTTTTGCCAGCAAGTTCTCCTTCTAAAGCAGAAAGCTTTTCCTTGAGTGAATCGACAGATTTCTGTGCCGCATCTGAAGGGTTTGAGAATATCTGTGATGTTTTCGAGCTAGCAAGTTGGAGCTCTAATGACTTGATCTTCTCTTCCATTTGTCGAAGCTTCTCGGCTGCGTCAGATTGACTTTCCGCTGCTTGATCAGTGAGCTCGGACGAGTCGCCCTTAATTTCAGCAGATTCTGCGGCATCTTTATTAACAGAATCTAAGGATAAACTATACTGCTCTCTTGCCTCTTGAAGTTCGCTCTCTAGACGCTTTATTGTATCTTGCTGTTGCATGAAAGGTAGTAATAAAGAATTAATAGTCTGGTTTTTGATTTCGATTTCTTTTTCGAGATTTTTCATGTTTTGACGAAGTGAAGCTTGCATTTCTTCGGATTGCGACTCGAAAGCTTGCTGGTTTGCCTTATTCGCTTCTAAAAGTTTCAACTCCATTTCCTTTATCTTAGCGTCTAGCCCATCGACAACGTCGTCGTTAATTTTGCTACTCATCACAGCTTCCTTCTCCCTAACAGTAGAATGTAGCTGATTTTTTAATGTTTCTATCTCACTCTCCAACACTAGAACATCATTACTCTTCCTTTGCTCGGCAAGAGTCTCAACCAACCGCTGTCGCTCTTTTAGCGAATCGACCTCCTTGGCCAACTCTTTAACCAGGTCAAATCGAGCAGCGGCTTCGCCCGCTTCAGCAGAGGTAAGACCATTAATACGCTTGCCAGCCGTTTCCTTATTTAATTGGATTTCCTCTTTCAGTTTTTCAATGAGTTGCAAAGCTTCACGATGACTAGCTTGCAACTGCGTAAACTCTTCCTTTATTGCTTCAATATCTTGCGGATGGCCGCCTTGTAACTTATTAAGTAATGCAGTAGCATTAAGCTCATAATTCTCTGCGCCGCGAATTTCTGTACCCAGAGACCTTGCTCTACGGGGCTGCGGCCGTCCATCTGCTTGCTGCTCTCCAGAGGATAATTTAAGAGTGAAAGAATTCCGAGGAGTTGACATGTTTGGTAATTCAACTGCCATCATTTTCGCTTCTTGAAGCTGCGACTGTAGCTCATTTATTTCATCAAGACACGCTTGGTACTTTGTTTTGACATCCATGTATTCTGCAACCGTGGCACCGTGAATCCGTTGAAGGTCAGCTAACTTTCCTTCAAGCTCCGCATTAGAGGAGTTATCCCGTTCACTTGTAGGCGTTGCGGCTTTAGATGTTGTTGGCGTGGTAAATGGCGTATCTTTATCAACGTCACTAATGATTGAAGAAGTTGATATAGATCGATTGTGAGAGACGTGATCGTGTTCGTGCTCCTTGAGTTTTCTAAGCTTTTCTACTTCATTTATAAGCTCCTCGACTTTCTTTTCTAACTGGGTTATGCGACGGTTGCGATCAGTAAGAGCATTAAGCAGCGTCTGTTTATCTGCCTCAACGTCTGCTTCTTTCAATCTATCTTCCAACTCCTGATATGATTCTTCTTGTCGCTGAAGTCTCTTCTCTAAACGTTCACAAGTTTGAACAAGTTGTTGTCGAGCCTCTTCACTCTTAGACAATCTTGTCTCGAGATCTTGGATATAACCTTCGCTGTTAGACCCGCTACTTTTCATGTGGTTGATTTTCGTTCGTAGCTCAGTAATAAGATTCTGGTCTTTTTTCTGTTCTTCTGCATGGTGTTCTAGCTTATTCTCAAGGTCCTTGATATATAACTCAGCCGTCGCCTCGCGTTCTTTTAATTTACCAAGCTTACTTCCGAGATCAGCAATCAAATTACCATTTTGTTCGATGGTTTGTTTAGCTTGTTCGATCTTGCTTTCTTGTGCGAGAAGTAAATTTTCAGAGTGATTGAGAGCAGCTTGAGCGATGGCAAGTCGACTTTCTAGTGCGGAGATTGACCTTTCATACTCTTCAATTACAGGTTCCACAGCGGCTTGAAAACTAGCAGAAGCATGTCTGAGAGAGACTCGATCATCGTCCTCTTTCTCGACGGCAAGATTAGTGCTACCATTTGGCATTTCACCGTCTGCGTTCACAGCATTATCTTGATGCTTGGCAAGTTCAGCGTTTAGCTTTGCATATTTTTGTGATAATTCAAAATATGATTGGCGTAGCTCCATCAATTGTTCTTCGTATGCATCTATGTCACCATTTTTCTGACCGCTGGTTGAACCTGCGCTTGAAGATACAGAGGCTCGGCGTAATTGTAATAAACTCTCTTGACCGGCGCTTGGCAGTGTGGCACTAGCGCCTGGTTCAATAGCGCCTCCAGCTTTTAATGCTTTAATCTCTGCTCTTAATTTAAGTACTAAACTCTGTAAATGTTCTAAATCATGCCACCCTACTTCTTCCTGATTGACCGACGCCGTATTCTTGATGTTACGAGCTCTATTTGCGTATTTAAGTGTATTTATTGTTTCGTTAAGATTATATTCTGCAGGTGATACGCATGCAATCATGAGTGTTTGTGCGTTTCCACCAAGTGAGTCTTGTAGCAAACGGGTGAGTTTCGAGTCCCGATAGGGAATATGAGTTGTGTGTTTTGCTTTGTTGGGATCGCCCAGAGCAGAAATTACATTTCCTAATGCGAGTAAACCAGAGTTGATAGATATTCCTTCTTTTGCACGTTCTCCGACTGCTGACGTGCGTTTTAACTACAACGAAAAGTGACATGAAAATCCATTTAGTGTCATTGAAGTTACATTACCAAATTGCTAGAAAACAAAAATTTTCAAGCTCATGGATCTCTAATCCATTACATGTCAAAGCAACCCATAATTATGAGTGAACTAGAAAAGACATGTATAGCTCGCAAAAAAAAACAACCATCATGCTAATTGCGGTTACTCAGTATAGTTGATTTCCAATTATATGTCTCTTTCCTGTCTTCTAGCTTACTTACCCTTTCACTACCGGCCAAATCTACGAAATGAAATTTACTGGTGATGGTAACCCAACTTCCTTCTTCTTCGGGTCTCTTCCCAATCCGAGAACTTGTCCTTGTTGGTGGTTGTAATCGAGTTGGTGTAGATGACCGTGCTATTCCCGATTGAGCAAGAGAAGCCACAGGATTCGCTCCACCGGATGAGACTGGTTTTTGTTGAGTGAGAGTAACGGAAAATATTGCGTGCGATCGCGATGATTGAGCGTTCATATCTGTTGCTCCTACTTGACGATTAAGTGAACCTCTCGTCAAATGGCTGTCAGTAGAGTAGTGAGTTAAGATAATTGTATTATAATAAATTTACACAACATGTAGACGATGCCAAGTCATTTATACCTCATCACTTCATCAGCAGAGTTAACTTTGAATTCTTGCAATCCATTCCATATAATTTTCCCCTTCGTGTCTTCTCTGATTGTTACTTGCGGTCGTTCCTCTCCATACGATTCTCCCAAAAGATCTATTAGTTCTTCATTGTAGATTTCAATAAATGATACCTTGGTTGTGAATCGTCTACTCTTGTATTTTGGCGAGTTCATATGAGAGAAGACTGTTGCCATTGCTCGCGGAATAATGCCTTTTGTTTCTGGTGACTGTGATGAACTGTCTGCTGTTCCCATTGTGAATGTTTTCCCAGATGATGTTTGTCCATACGCTAGAATAGTCACATTGTATCCTAAATAAAGATAATAGGTATTGATTGATCATTAATATAATAGAACTTGGTAAAGTATTACCATTTTTCCGTCTGGTTCTATCATTTATTATTATACATCATAGCTCTTTTACTTTCTTCCTCCTTTATATGTTCTCTCTCTCTCTCTTATTTCCTTGTCGTATATTACCTTCCATGAATTTGTCTACCATGTTAAGAACAGCTGTTTCGTAGACATTCTTTTGCGTTGTGTCGGGTCCAAAAACGTGGTCATATGAAAATGTTGGTTTTTTTTCAGCTTGAACTACCACTTGATTTTGTGTATTTGGTGGAATAGTAAGCACTTGCCGTTGGAATCGAGTCGGTAGATTTACTAAGTCAGCTGTTGTGATAGGCCTTATACGCAGTGCTGTTATTTACAACAAATGTGAGTGGAAACGTTGTATACTCTGATTCAATAAAGTAGTTTATTTTTTTGATTTTTTAACAACTGCTATTAGTCTACTTGTTAAATATGAAATTGTCTATCGTGGTTCTGATGTCAAGAACATATGCTATACTATAAATTTCGCTAACGACGTCCGAACGGCAAACTTCACTCTAAGAGTATTCTCAGTCAAGAATACCAGGAATTTCAAACCTTACTTACCCACTTGCACTGAAGTCTTCTCCGACCCTGACCCTGCAGTGGTCATTTTTTATTAACATGCAATTGGAAATGCGAACGTCTCGTTCAAATCGTGCTTATTCAAAAATCAAAATCTTTATTTCTTATAAGATTCTGACCAATAATTTATTCCATGAAATAAAGAGAAAAAAAAATAGGTCAATTAAGCAGTCAATTTAATGGTCAAGTAAAATTAATATCTTAGGGAGTGACAACGTTCGACAGTTATATGTTTGGAGATGAAGATCGCGTGTGGATAGCTGCACATACAGTTACACAAGTGCTAGAAGTTCGTTGTGTTCCAACTTCCAATAATGGATAGCTTCAAACTAGAAATGGATGAAGGCGTAGATGATTCATTGTGCAATCGTACAGGTCAGCCGTTTCAGATCGCTGTATCCCCTAATTTTGGCGAGTGAAACATGGGTACCACACTATCGAAGAATAGCACTATTGTGTCTATTTCGTATTTCGAATATCTTTTACTCTAATAGCCACAGCATTCCTATGGGCTTCTAATCCTTCGATTTCGGCTAGCCTCATGACAGTATCGCCTATTTTATCCAATCCATCCATTGTTAGTTTCTGTGCTGTCATATGCTTCAGGAATGTCTGTGTGTTAACGCCAGAGTACATTCGAGCATATCCATAAGTGGGTAGCGTATGGTTAGTGCCGGAAGCATAATCGCCGCAACTGCAAGTATAAATAGCGAATGTCATATGAGTAAACCATGCAACCTAAACAATGATAGCTTCAAAAATAACAATATTAAATAATCAACTGCTTATTATTCACTTATTTAATGTCTTTACCTTTCGGGAGAGTAAGACCCCAAGAATATGCTTCCAGCATTGTCTACTTCGTTAATCCATGAATCCGGATCTTCCAGATGCAAGATCAAATGTTCAGGTGCATAATCATTGGAGAATTTTAGAGCATCGCTCATATTCGTCACATTCAAAATAAAGCTTTTTGGAATAGACTGTCTCACGATATCAACACGCGGCAGGCAAGAAGCCTGTTTGTGGATTTCCTTTTCGATTTCTTCAAGTAGATTTGATGCAAGTGATACTGCAACAAGCACAACCTGAGAATCTTCGCCATGTTCAGCTTGCGAAAGTAGATCTGATGCAACGTAAGCGGGAACGCTAGTGTCATCAGCGATCACTAATAACTCGGATGGGCCAGCCGGCATATCAATAGATATCATTGCGGAACTATCATTCTATTGATAAAAACTAGTATAAATAGATTTATAGGTATAATTTAGATCACCTAGCCAATACGTTACTTACCTGAGCAAGCATCTTGGCAGCCGTCACATACTGATTACCCGGACCACAGATCTTATCTACCTTTGGCACACTCTCGGTCCCATATGCCATAGCAGCCACCGCCTGTGCACCACCAGCCAACAACACCTTCGTAGCTCCTATTTTATGAGCAACATATAACACCTCGGAAGCAACACTCCCATCTTTACGCGGAGGACATGCCATTACAATTTCTTTACATCCAGCTACCATCGCTGGTATTCCTAGCATCAAAGCCGTAGATGGCAACACAGCTGTCCCTCCTGGAACATACAGTCCAACACTCTTAATTGGGCGACTGAATCTATAACAGGTTATCCCCGGCATAGTACCAACCACCAAAGTCGATCTATCATATTGAGCTTCGTGGAATTTGAGTATATTATCGAATGCTTGATCTATGGCAGATTTAGTAGCATCATCAATAGACATCAACTCTGGTGGGAAAGGCGACGTTATTACTGGCGACTGAAGACGTACTCCATCATATTTTGCAGTTAAATCGAGAAGAGCAACGTCTCCTCTTTTTCGCACATCGTCAACAATAGGTCGAACACGCTCCAATATTTCGTCGGATTTGATTATAGGACGCTGTAGTAACGATGACCTCTTTTCAGGTGTGATCTCTGACAAGTCATATTTCTGCATTTTTATAGTTCCTTCTGCTACTACATCCTGTCTGTCTTCTTCGTCCGCTTGCTTATTGTCACTATCGGTCGACTTATCGTCATTCAACAAGTCACTCTTGTCATTATCATTACTATCTGGCTTAGTCACATCCCGCTGTAGCTTAGCATTTCCCGGTCTACGCGTTATCTTCAGAGCACGCTTGTTCAACTGTTCTTCGATATCAGCTAACGTCACTTCATTAGCAATGCATTTCGTCAGCGTGAAATAAATAAGATCTGCCGCCTCCCATGCTATATTTTCCTTGCTGGTTGCTGAACATAACTCGCCAGCTTCCTCCATTATTTTAGACTTGAGAAGGTCAGGCTGCTGGAATAATTTTTGAGTATATGATCCAGGCGGGGCCGATAACTTGCGGCTTTGAAGTGTTTTCTCAAGTGCCTTCAAGCCATTGTAGTGGCCAAAACATGTATTTGTATTAAGATGACAGAAACCTAATTAAGCAAACGTAATAGTGTCAAGGTAAATTAATTGAACAAAAGACGCATACTGTTTAGCGATACAAAAACACGAAAAGATGGCCGCGTTATATTTACCACTTCCAAGTTGCTCGACTACAAATCTCAGAGCATCTTCATCACAGTCAATATTAATACTCTTTAATTTCTGAACGGCCCCAGAAGTGGCTCCCTTATACCAGAGTCCTCTCTTCCTACTCTGATATACTCCTTTCTTAGTTCTTATAGCTTCTCTTACACTTTCTCGCGATGAATAGACTAAACCTAATGCAATACCTTGTTCATCAACTACAACTGTTGTAAATAATCCATCGGCTCGATCTGATTTCAATGAACAAGTAAAAGCATCAGCAATGTTGATCTTTGTGGTCTTGTCGGGTTCTTTCAATGTTAATGCATCAACCGAGACCAGAAATCGACCATTAAGGTCGGACAATTGTTTGATAAGTTCTAACTCCAGTTTAATTGATGGGGGTAACATCATCCCAATATCCTTCTGACCACCAGAGGGAAGTGGATGCTTCTGGACATGTTTAATCAAGACGGACACTTGGTCCAAGATTGAGTCGAACATTGAAAATATACTGCTGTTGCTGTGGTTAGTAGACGGTATTATTAGGTATGCAGAGACTTTTTCGGATAAAGCATCAGTTAGCTCAGGTGAAGCGGCATTCAGTGTCAAACTTGCTACTAATCTCTCGGCCGGAATATCGTCGATTCGAAGCTTCTTTAGTATAAAGTCTGAAGAAAGCACAACTTTTGTTGCTCCATCATCGAGTAATTTAATTAACTTAGGTACGTCTAGAGTATCCCCACGTTGAGGGAATATCCAATAATCTGTTATATGATATCGATCTCTAACTTCAACGAGAACGCTCAAATCATCAATATTATCGATAAAAAATACGGTCGTCCCAATGCAGTTCAAAGAACTCAAGACGTCGTGAATCTCGTCTGAATAAGGAATTGGATTAGTCAAATCGACTACTGGGAAAATCATAATGTCTCAGTTGGAGTTGAATAACTTGGTGTAAAAGAAATATAATACTAATATTTAATATAATTTGATCGTCTCCAAATGATTTGTGTGACTGGAAAGAATGCAGTGGGAACTGCGAACTGGCACATTTTGTTGTTATGCCAACCAATAAATCGGGTCACTGCTTCAGTAATGAGAACTAATGTATTGATAAATTACAATTTTAATTCGGCAACTAAAAGTAATATTATAATCACCTTATCACATTCTATGACTGACATAATTATAATAATAATAACAGATTGGATAAAGCCATCAATAATCATGACTACAAATTATTGCCCAAAATAAAATTGCTGAAACGTTAACAAAGGCCTTTTGTTCTGCTTATCCGCCATAATTCCAGCCACGCCAGCCATTATACGTATATGTTCACTTAATGCACGTCCCATTTAGAATGCAAGAATCATTAAAAATAATTTTAGAGTAAAATGTAAGATGGCTAACCATGAAAGTAACAGCATTGCAATATAAGTTAGCTAATTTAGTCTCTAATGAAAATGACTTCATACTAATACAGGGTTAGCTCATGAACAAATGCTTGATTTAAAATGACAGTTATCCTGTCTTGCATGAATATGTACTAAAACCTTGATTTCAGCTTAATACCTTCTAGATACTGAGTTAATCAAACAATTGCAGTTACGGTCAATTATACATGACTTCTTTTTTTTTTTCAATAAACCATTCCGAGCATTGCCCTCAGTAATTCATATCCTCAATAAAATACCCAATTCCATGTCTCAAATAAGAGAATATGTTAGAACCAGGGCAAGCATCTATATTAAGACTTGCCTGTGGAAACACTTATCATAAGCATTGCTAATAATTGTCTTAAGGTCGTGTTTAATGATTATGTGCGTAATATACACGTTTAAATGCTTGTAAATACTATTAATGTTCATTAATGCCCAAGAAAATACTATCTAGTATTCCCGAATGTCATCAAAGATAACTCTCACCCGCTCAATTTACAAATACCACACACTCACCATTTAATAGGCTTTCTTGTAACCCTTGGCTTGTCAGCAAGGATGTTTCTATAGAGCTTCTCAATTATAGGTCTCTCGGGAGGATTTTCTTTTAGCTCTTCATCAAGGTATTCATTGTTAACGTAGTATCCTACACGTACAAATTCTTGATCACGATACGAGCATGTAATGATTACTACAGTAACATCTAAAACATTTTCCGGAAGGATCTTGGATGAATCCGGAGCTGGCACCTATTCATTAAAGAAAAATGGTTATTATTACGTGTGACTAGGATATAATTCTAATTACTGTATAGCACTACATCACGCATACCTGAAATAAGAACTTGTTCGTTCCCGGTGGAATAGGACCCACCATAATACTGTCTAAGACTTGATCGTACTCGGAGCTTTCAGGTGAGCCCACATAGATTACCTTCCATTCGAGATCTAAACAAACAAGATCAAAAGTAGGTGAGCTTTTATACCACGTAACGGAATAATCACAACTGGCCATCCTAACCGCCGTCCTCGCTCCTATACACACACACCCATAACGTGTTCTAACCTTCTTCTAACGGTTGAATGAGTTCGAATGTGATCTCAAACCGAAAATCCGCGCCGAATAATGAAGGGTTATCAAGAACTTTGATGTCTGTTATATTAACAAGAGACATTTTTGACCTAGTATGTATGGAGAGCTCGTGTGTACGTCAATGTCGATGCGTTCTTTATTGGCGGCACCTACGTCGTGTTGAATGTGAGGCGTTTGAATGCGTGATTGGATGATACCGCGACGAAGGGGAAACTGGGATATTTAAATGGTTAGAGTCACGAGGACAAAATACCCTGAATGTCAATCCCTGTTCGTTGGTTGGTTGTTGAATGTCAAACGTGTGTAGCGTGATTTAAAGGCTTCACATCCAGAAATTTCATCTTCTAAAAGGGAAAAAACGGTAGGCATCCATTTGAATATGTCTAATATACGAATGCAGTAATCTCATCAGACACGATTACAAGACAAAACATAAAACGCAAAAGGCGATTCTTTGCCGTTCTAATGAAATATCGTCCTTTTCTTAATCCAGAACGATGGTAAAAGATAAAAAGGAAAAACAGGAAAAACAAGAGGAAAGGAGAAAACGAAGTGCGATGAATGATGTAGTCACTAGAGATCACACCATTCACTTACACAAATACATTCACGGACGGTACATACACAATATTTCCAACAATTATTGCCACTATTTGCTCTGCTCGTATCTGACCAGACGCTGGTTTTTCTTCGTTTTATTCCTCTAATATTTCGCAGGAGTTTCAAAAAACGGGCCCCGCAAGCCATTAAAGCCATCAGGGCTTTTGCCAAGAAACACATGGGAACTAGTGATATTCGTCTTGATCCGCAATTAAACAAAGAAGTTTGGAAGCAAGGAGTGAGAAATGTTCCTCGTCGAGTACGATTGAGATTGGCCCGTCGACGCAATGATGCAGAAGATGCTAAAGAGAAGTTGTACACTTATGTTACGGCTGTTCATGTCGCTACATTTAAAAGTAGGAATTTCAGAGATTCTGTGGGGTTTAAATGGAATCTACACTACGCTATTGCTTTATTAATATATGTCTGCGGGTAATTTCCATTTCGTAGGTCTTCAAACAACTACTGTTGAGGAGTAATAAGTGTTCGTAAGAATCACGTGTGTATTGACGAGCCAACAACTCGACGAGCTCCATAGTGATCATCGATGGACTGGCATTAGTGAAATTAACTTTATTTTATATTGAACAATAAATTGGCTAAGTTACTTTCTTGCTGTAATTGATGTAGCCAACACCAACACAAGTCAAGAAAATAGTTTCTGACTCTTCCTGTTTTATCCTGAATGTTACACCAAAAAAATCCTTAATGTCTCGGAGATATTGTATCCTATATGTCGATAGGCAACAATAATAACAGAAATATAAATCACTTAAGTACAATTACAAATCACAACAAACTTTTATTGCACAAAAATCGACACTTACGAGAATGCGCTCAATTTGCCAATCTTCACTTTTGAGACATCTTCTGGTCCAAGAACCATTAGTAACAAGACCAACCATTGACTAACGGAATCAACACAACCGCCTTTCCGTATTTCGGAAAGCAGTAACTGGGCTGTACGCTTCCCGATATCTTCAGGCGTATCTCCTGGGTTAGCTGCAGTTTCAGAGGACACAAGTGCTCCTGTTGTTGATTCCGCAACTAGAGATAGTGCAAAACCAGGAGATCTATGCATAGAGATATCGGCGTTATCTCTGATTGCTTGGCACAAACTAGACAAACTAGACTAGATTTACCATCGCATCAAGCTTACTTTCCGGATTCTTCCCCTTTATATACATCAGTATATATATACACATCCGGTATATATCTATTTAAGACTGATCTTGCAGATTCAACTAATCTATTGGCGTTCTGCGGAGAGACTCTTGTCGAACATCTGCATAAAGACATGAGTGGAGAGATCCAATTAGTATTACATCTTTGATTCTTGATTGCACGAACAAAATGATGGCATATAGATAGATACTCTACGCAATACCACGAATACGTTTTATTCGTCCTTCGTCAATAAATTGCAATGGCTTCAGAGATCGCACTATTGGACATTGAAAATTAACCTCGCCACCGCCAAGTGGAGGAGACCCTCTCTTTGAAATCTATTGAATAGCGAGTTATTCATAAGTAAAACTGGATGCTTAATAAATGCTATCTGGAAATATTAAACGTACTTTCAATTCTAATCCTTCTTCGATTCCAAATCTTTTCAGTTGCAGCAGTATAACCGTTCTTATCAAATCAACCTTGAGTATGCGTGTGTGAGAATGTATTTCCGCTCATTAAGTACAGAGATGACAAACATATACAAATACATGCCGAAACATCAGTATTCTCGTTGGTTATTCCAGTTAGCGTCACGTTAAATGGATTTTTGGAAAACGGAGCCAATGCAATCATCGGTTCTAAGTAGTAGCCAATTCCGCGAGTGATATGACATTCATGAAATACTTTTCCACCAGTGATTATTCCAGGTTTATACAAGACACTCGTTCCTACGATTTAAAGAAGGTGAACGAATGCTATAATTATTTAAAAAAAAAGTCATGTAGAGACTGACAAGGCAATCCATTCTGCAATCATAGTTGGGACGCTCACCTGTATAACTTATTTCAATGATCGATCCGTTAGTCACCTTTTCTAGCAATCGCAGAAAACTTACTTCATAATCTGTCACATACACTCTCGTTAGCAGCGTAAATTATAACGCAACTTAAAACACAATAAATCATCAACCTCTTAAACCAGGATTATCATCATCTGAACGAATCTTGTCTATTTTAACGGTTTTCCCACTCAACAAGGAAAGAATAAGCCGTTGACGAAAGTAATTATGTCCAGAATATTTTATTAGGCTGCCACTCATTCTTGATAATAAATGCAAAACTGGAAAATAAAAAGTAAATTTATTTTTTTTTTTTGCGGAAAAGCCGATCAAGTCACCTGACTAAATGTAGAACGAATTATGCTTACAATTATATTTACATTACTAAAGAAATACTGAGCAGTTTCATTACGTGAATCTCAAGCGCGTATGAATGGAAATCTGTAAAGCTATGTAAAAGAATTACTGGCAGCTGTATCGACCTTGACGTACACTGATGCTTGTTTGCTTCAGTAACATAATCTGTTTATTCTTGAAATGTCAGTAACAAGATACTGTCCAAGATTTAGGTGTATTCATATTCTCTATTATTATTTAATTGCGATCATGTGTTCAATTCTACAAAAAAAATACTTTAAACTACCAGCACCCTCCTATTGATACCAGTGTTGGATTCCTGGTAATGAACTCTATAAATTCCATCGAAACGACATTCAACATCAAATCGAATAGAACTAGCATATGGCACATTACATGAGGCATGCCGAAAAGCTCATTGGGATATGCGAGCGCTCTATGATTATGGCGTTATCTCTAATGCCAAAGAACAGCAGTGGAGTATATGCTTTATACCCAAATTAAATATCACGATCCCACAACAGAACTTTATCCTTTACGTCATTTCTTCCTATCATACTTCCACTTGTATATAGGCAACCCATTGGCATCTTCACCAATCTTGACACGTCTTCCTTTACCCTATTAGTGAATATTCATCATGTCATTATCTTAAGTATCTCACGATATACCATTGCATACTTACCATTAATGCTTTCTGAATAACTAGCTCTCGCTCCAATTTACTCATCTTCTTATCACGCTCAATTCGAGACAGTAACTCTTTATATCTCTCGAGACGTTCCTTCCTAAGTTCCTAATTCACGAATAAAATATGTTTGTCAGTATCAAACGGAAAGAGAAAATCTCAACAGTGTAAATGGTACAATTGTGATTTACTTTTATAACCATGTCGTCTTCTGGTGCTATTGCTCTTTCCTGTTCCAGTGTTTCTACACGGGGCCTATTGGACTTTTGATTGATTAATTCAGGAAGCGTGTCAAAGTGCTTCACCGGGTCAAAGTTAGCAGCTGTGCGTTTAATTTGAAAGAAGGAAAAACGCATCAGATGCGTTAATCAGTTTAATAAAGTCCGCTTACAATCAAATTGTCAAAAAGACTTGCATACCTTCTTCTTTACTATTTACAAATATTATATGCTTTGGTTTTACACTTGTTTCCGCGTCTTCATTGTCTGCGGTAATCATTTCATCGTCATTGTCCAATAGTATCATGTCATTTAGAAGCCTGTCGACTTTCTATCCCAATGTCAAATATTTCATATCAGAGAACCGCTTTAAAGATAAACATAATCGATATATTCATGTCTGACCTTATTCCCAATATCTCTTTGAGTCTTTATATAATTTAAATCTTGTGATTTTAACAGTTTAATATCTTCACCAGAATATGCGTCATTTCTCTGAGCTATATGTACACCTCCCTAACCACCCATTAAACGAAGAGAACGAGATCAGTAAAGGAGTATACTTAATCATATACACAAACACTACATTTATAACCTTTGTCTTTGTGTTTATCATTTTGAAATAGAATTCATCGGGATTCCTAAAGAACGCTTTTTCCTTTAAAGACTTTAATCTCTTTTGTTTAAAATTATAGTCTTTAGCACGAAGAACGTAGTCTTTGTGCTTCTCAAGTAAACCACGTTTCTCCCTAGCGAGAGGTTGTGCGCGTTCTTTGTGATCACGCCTATGTACGGCATTACGTAAAGTAGACATTTCGAATAAACCAAGAGAAAGCGCTGCTACGAATGTATTTAGATGTAAATGATTTTTTTTTCGATTAGGACTAGCCTTTATTAGGAATAACGTGACACTTGTTCATCTAATTTACTTATTTATATGGGGCAAAAACCATAGGGGTTCTACTTCCTCCCGGTTACTCGGGTGTCGAATTGAAACCCTGGAAGTCGCCTTTATGAGCGCGTTCCTAAATCAGTGTCGAAGTTTCGTTTTGCTCATATGCGAACATGCTTAGGGGTTCCGCTTCCACCAATTATTTGGTGTTGAATTGAAAACCCGGAAGTTTTCTCTTTCTGTTTACGTTCCTAAATCATGAAGAAGCTTCACGTTCCTAATTTGTGTGAAATTTCATTACATATTCTCATGATATAGTATGGCTAACCTATTTATTCTATTTATTTCTATTTATTTCTATTTATTTCTATGTTACCTTTAATACTTGAGTGAAGGAAATCAAAAACGTAAGAGATATCGTTATTAAGTGAAGTGATTTATATTATATTAATCTACGTATGCTCTGTAGTCGTAGGCAAAAATATAGAAAATTACGCAGAACAGATTTGTCCATTATTCATTCGAAAATGCAACAAAATCGAACGCTTGTAAGCAAGATTGTTTTCTATCACGCTGAAATTGTTTGTTATATAAGTGATGCCAGATAATTCCTTTATTCTAAATTCTCTGAATTTGTACACGTCACACGCGCACCACCCTCAAAAATGCCAGTTCTGAAATATTAGATTATCAAAACAAACTGACGCAATTAATGCAGGATGGTCCATTACCTGAGTTTAATTTTTTAACGATTTTATTATACCGACAGCATAAAGAATCAACAACGGTAGCCAAGAAGAGTGAAGAACCACGAGTATACCGACAGCATGAAGAATCAACAACGGCAGCCAAGAAGAGTGAGAAGAACACACGAGGGTAGCTAGTGGTATGTTGCAAATGAATGGCTTGTGCTACAGGTTTGCCATAATAATAAGGCTGACATATTTTCGAATTGACAGATTCAGGGAATGGTTTGAGAGAGGCATCGGAATCAATGGTTGGAAAGTTTCTGAACGCCTTTTACTCAACATAAAAGTATAAATTTCAAAACATAAACATAAAGGTTGATCATAATGTTTTATTTTAAGCTCATTAAGCTCTACATTTTGTACTAAATGACTAATATTTTGTAGGGCCTCCTTTGGTATACTGTCAACTAAATTCTCAATCATGTGCTTTGGGAATCCCCTTAACACATTTCTTTGCCTGTGAGGCTTTTATGTAAACAAAATGCAGATCATCCTTTTTATATAATAATTTATGCATTCACTTGTGATTTCAAAAAACTTTTGATCGCCCTCTGACATCATGATTTTCTATTAAACGGTCGTTTTGAAGTGTGCAATTGAAAACCAAAACAAAAATCGAGGTAGCTGTCGACCGTTTAATTGTCAACACAATAATGGATATTCCCTATTATTGGCAAAACTTTAATGTTTGTTGTTCGTAAAATGAAACTACTAACGTTGACAATAAATTGATGTCATTAACCTTGTTAATTGATTATTATCATAATAGTTATTATTATTAATACTATAAAAAATCAAGAATGTCTTGTAATTTGCATATATCAATAAGGACCCTGACATATGCGGATATATCCGATAAAGAGTTGGTCAAAAAAGTGGTTGATTATAAAAAAAAAAACAACGACGAACTTTTCAATATATGTTAATAATAATATCATTTTTAGATTGTTCAGGCGATTGAAGAGTTCATGACAATGTGATACTTGGCTTATCCTATGGCACCAAATATCTCACAGCAAATAAAAACTTGTTCATTCTTACATTCTTATTACATGCAGCATTCACGACACGCCTAGATTAATATAAATCGCATAAATGAATATAATTTGTTATGCAAGCAACGGGCGATTTATAATATACCTTGTCCAATGAAGCAACAAACTCTTCATCCCCATGAAAGGCTGTCCGGACTATGTCGGAATTTTTTGCATAAACTTGAATTAGGGCCGTCACGGTCATTCCAGGCCGCTAGAATATTGAATAGCGAACAAGATTAACTATAGTCCTAGTTGATACATACAAATGCGATATTGAAAATTTACCATTTGTTTTCGCATATATTCTTCAAATTGCGTACATAATGGATTTAATCCTCCTGGAATGCGCGACAGAAGAGAATACATTATTCCCAAATCTACAGAATGATGGAAATTAGAATATTGTTTATTTATATTGTTAACAATAATTAAAAAAGAATTACCATCGAGTTTATTCATGTCGAGTAAATCCTGAAATTCCGTCCACATAATGTTCATGTGTTCTTTAACGAGTATAGCTTCGCAAGCGCTAAGATGCTACAAAAGGTGATAGGCATGCTGAATATACTACAAGAAACTTATTATAGATATAATGTTAACGTACCGGTTTTTCGGTATTTGGATTCAAGTATGACACAACACGGCCTTGCTCTCCAGATAATATTGCCTCAACCTTTTTCATATAATCTGTGATATTATGCTTCTCGAGTAATTTCCCTGATTCTGCCCTATAGTATGCTTGGCTGGCCTCAATAAATGGCAATTCAAAGTGTGTTTTGTATACTTCAAGCGATGAGTCACTATCTTCGAGTCCAAGAGAAACTATTAAAATATTTGTTATTTAGGTAATGTTCGATTTGATATCAGTTGACTTATCTTACCGATCTTTGTCATAAACAAACCCATACTGGCCAAAATCTCTCTAGTTTAGCCGTCTTACCGTATGAACCTACAACAGATTTTATTAACCCAACATCAACCATCTCTCCGTTCCTCTCTTTCTCGATCAACTTTAACACGGCTGCTGTCACCTGATGCTGAACATGGTTGAATACGTTTTCGCGCCAGCTGATAAGAGCAAGCTTAAATACGGTAATATAATATGGTATAGACAGATTAGTTACCAGCAAATAAGGAAACGATATTAATATATAATCTGGTAAGCGAAAAAGCTCCGTTGACAGTTACCGTGTAGACATCATATATATTTTTGTCTCCCTCATCGACTTTGTGTCTCACCCAATGACGGTTAAGAAATCTGAATACATGGTTTAGATAAGTCGATGCAGCCGTATATTTCTCCCACTGTTTTGCATAATATTGTAATAAATTCTCGTCCGCGAGTTGTTCCGAGTCCTATATACGAATGTCCACAGTCGTTATAATTATATAAACCGTAAGCAGTAAGTAGATAAGCTGATCAATTAATAACTGACCTTTCTGATTTTATCAAGGTATCTTTCAAGATAATCCTGCAGACGATTATATAGGTCGCCTCCCTTTGATCTTGCACCTAGATAAAGACACAGAAGACAGACATGTAGATTCCAAGGAATAAGCACGTTTCCATTTATTGGTAAGTAGTCAACATCCACTCGCTTACCTAGAGCATCACCGCAGTAATTATAGATTCCACTGATTGTCAAATAATAAACGACAGTTAAGGAGCAAACGGGATTTCTGAAGAAGGAAAAACAAAGATAGAAAAGAACTCGACGGATGTGGGTACATCATTAAACAGCAAATCACTCTAAATGTTTTAGAATTCCTTGCATACCAATAATCAGCCATACTTTCTCCCATCCAATTTCTATAATGTAGATTACTACGCTTTTCCATTACATTCCGATACAGGACACGCCTCTGACCCAATCCTTTAGCAAAAGGATACGTATATAATTCCATATATTTTTTATAGTTCAACCCTTTCTCTAGTTTACTCATGATCTGGTCTATTCCTTCTTCCAAAACCTTCCATATAATTTCGATTGAGGTTGATGCTGGAATATTATTCCCGTTAGCTGACATCATTAATCAAAGATATTCGGGATGGATAAGAGAAGTGGCAAGTTAAGGTTTCAGTTCCGTCTAGAAATCCCGATTTTTTCTACCAATCATGCATGGCCAATTAAAACTGACACATACTGTAGTTACCCATTCACCTAATTTCCGGTAATTAAAGCAGCTAGTCACGATGGCACATGTCTAATTTAGACAACATATTAATATAATAATAACAAGCGCGAGATCAATGCCTTTTCTCGACTATGCATATAGAATGTTGAATGGCTCAGATCATTGCTTACATGAATATAACTAAGTTGGGATATAAATAACTATCGCGAGGAATTTTTATTCACAACGAGGTGCTCGCTAAAGCCCAGTTTATCTATCTACATACATATCTATTCTTAGATATATTAATGAGTGACTGTATTCTGTTAGGGGATCCATGGGGGTTAGTGGGTCTATCTATATGTCTATGGATCCTAGCATGGAGTTAATGGAGGTTGGTTCATGTCCAAAAGCCCTTGAAGTAAAGGCCTGCTGGTTGCAGGGAGCGTAATAATCAGAGTTGGTGTTGTGAGAGTGAGGGGTCAGGGATGTGTGGAGGGGGTTGCCATCTGCATAGATCATATAGGCAGTGTCCCATATTGACTTAGCAATATGGCACATGTTAATGGGCATTGTGAGTTGTCTGGTGTTATGGTAGCGATGGGTCGGAGTCGTTCCCATGATGTCGGAGGCAAGATTTCATGTTGGGATATAAATAACGAAGGATACCTCAGTTATATCCCCGTGCGTATTACACAAAAAATCATGCCATTTCTATATATATACATATACTTGTGCGGTATTTGTGCGGGATAAGTCGATCTTTTGCTTCATTTGGTTAGGCGACGACGCAATGAAATTAGGTCATATCAGGTCATCATAAAATCAGGCGATAAATAAAACTAGGCGATATAATGAATTAGAATATAAATTATGCTATGAAATAAATGTACAGTATATACAATTCAGTCAGGTATACATATCAATTCTAGAATATTCAGATGCGTATCTCGAAATCTGATTGGTGTAAATGCTGAGAATTTCATAGACAAGGCTAACAGTTGAAATACACTTTTACAAGCACATACTTTCAGAATACATCTGGATCCACGCGACTTTGAAAAGCAGTTTCTTCTCAATTCACGTTTTAGAATTACGCTTTGTTACACAACGGCTGTGTATTTGATTCTCTTTCGAAGAATATTCAGTTAGCACCATGTGAAAACTAAAGAGAATCAAAGATGGAGACATGTGTCTGCTAGTGCAGCAGCAGGAAGTCTAACAAAAATGGCTAAGTATCTTCCTGAACTATCCTCATTGCTTGACTCTTTAGACAATTACTCTATATGTGAAAGACATTACAATCAGG